TGTCAGTTTGCACTGCAAACACCCCGTCCTTTGCAAAGTGAGTGTGACTCAGCGCGAAGGCAAGTGTGCACCTACAAGCAAGCGTTGCAGCATTGCAAGTTTGTAGAGAGCGGAAACTGCAGAAACTGAAATTGAGGCTGAATTGAGGCTGAAACTGTAACTCTGAAGTAGTTGAGTCCAGTCGGGTCTCTTTTGACTTAAAGTTGAAATCAAAACGAAAGGATGGTCTCTCCCCGCTGTATCCCCCAAGCAACACTGTTTGCCTTTTCACTTCTTGTTCCTGCCACCGCTGTTCATGCGACTTCAGCGCAAACTAAACTATTGATTTGGCAGTGGTAAGCTGGTAAACTGAACCAATGGACACCATTGCTGTTCTTGCAACAGCTGTGCCCACTTGGTACGTTGGCGAAAAGTCATTGCCACTGCTGCTAGTACCAGTTACTAGTTCAAATGATTCAATTGCCACAGACCTATGTCACACATGTCGCACCAATCAACTTGAGACCATTTGGGCCAACGATTGGTACCATTCTAATTGTTGTTTGATAGGAATCATCTACCATGTCGGTCTCAGGGTTATCCATGCTACACCCTCAGCATGGATAGATAGACTCTGAGACTCTTGATAAACAATCCCATCAGGACGAAGAGGAGACAGATGGATGAAATCCTGCGGGAGGAGGGCCACGTTCACGTTCCAAGCGCACACAATCTTCTTCGACAACTTCAGGCGCAACCACAGCCCCCTCAGCATTTGACGTTGCTGACGTTGTTGGATCACGAACAACCTTGCCCTCAGAGCCCTCTGACACCCCTGCGTTCTTCTTCTCAACCTTGTCACTCTTGTCTGATTTCTTTGGCTTCTTTTTTGCTGGGCCCTGGTCATGATCATGACGATCCTCACCACTGGCCCCGCCACCATCTCTGGTCGTACCAGGCATCACGGTGTTTTCAGGGCCCCAGCTGATATTGATATTGAAGTTCATGCCAGGATACCTGCCACCTTCACCCCGCGGGTAAGCATGAAAGTGGAAGCTGTGGCAACCGAACTGGCATCCCTCAAGTAGGCCTGTGGCACACAATTGCGAGCGTCGTGGTTCATTCTCCAGTTGAGCTGCGACATCACTTGCCAAAGACCTGATCATTTGATTTCGATCTGAGTGGCGCATTGGATTCGCCATTGATTGGGTTGGCCTATCTGCCTGTTTGCTAACTGGCTGTACACAAGCAGCTTTAGGGCGATAGATGTTGCCAAGAAGAAGCTGATTGGGCCAGGGCGACCGATCAAAAGTCCAGAGACTCAATTTGACTCTGAGTCCCTCCCTAATGCAAATCTGCAACTCATGAAAATCGCCCAGCCAGCCAGCCAAGCCTCCAATACAGCAGAGCCTCGACAGTGACCCAGAAGAATGCGGCCACTTGGCCAGCCTGACACCAGGCAACGCTGTTCACGAACCTAATCAAAAGTCAATGGTGGCCCTCCCCCCAAAAAGAAACGCAATCTGAGTTATGTTGTTGGTGGGAGTAGTGTGCAGTAGCAGTAGCATGAGTCCATTAGCCCCCTTTTAGCCTGTGAGTAACTCCATTTGCGCAAATTTGGCAAATGTGCCATGGCTGCCACTGCCACACCACTGCAAAATAGCACCGGCACCGACCTAAATCGAATATCAACTAATCCAGATTAGCCTGTTTGTGGGTGTGGGGATTCAAAAGCATCACCTACGACTATGACTTATTTATAGATGCAGAGGCGGCAAACAAACCTTTCTTGCAAAAACACAAAAGTTGAGGGATAGTTATATATATATATGTACTAGATTATATATATATATACATATATTGCCATAGTGGTTTGCTTCCACAAGCAGAAGTAAGAAAGTGTAAACAATGTAAACTGTGAAGCATTGAGGGTGGTCCCTACTCCTTCCTGCTAAGTTGAAGAATCAAAAAACAAGTTGTCTATCCGCCTCCCTCACCCCTCCCAAACCCAAACCAGGTAAAGGCCGGTGGACCCCCACTGCCTTTTGCTCCAGCTTGGGCCGCCTGCTGAGAGTTGGCAGTGGCCCCAGCAAAAGCTGAAGACTAACGACCGGTTGGCGGGTCAGTCAGCTGTTCACTAGTTCACTAACCAAACAAAAGTAAAGTAGTTGCCTAGCCTTTCCCCCAAACCCTAGACCCTCTCACAAAGGACATCCCGGACAGATCAAACACAAACTATGCCTTCAATAGAGTTGTCCTGCAAACAAATCACTTGTTAACTTGCCGACATTGTCATTGTCTTAAAGTATGTTATTGATATTGCTTGTAATTGCATCAACTGGCAATAATGAGTCAGGTCATGATCACAGCCGACATCTGGCAGCACCGGTCCACATCTGGCAGCAAGGGAAGTAATGAAGTAAGTGAAGTACAGATGGCTGGTTGGCCGTGGACTCGTGGACTTGTGGACTTGTGACCAAAATCCTTAACCCTGGTAACCCTGGTAACTAAATGTTTCAGAGGTAGCTGAGGTAGCACACTGCACATGTGTTCCCACGTTCCCAAAACAAATTTAGCCACAGCCACAGGCCGGTTTGGAATATGTTATAATTTATATCAGGCAACACCAACACAAAGGATGAAGCGTACTGTACCTTGTAATGCGCAGTTCACGTAAGTAGTCAGATGGGATACAAATCATGACTAACCATACGAAACCATGAATATAATATATACACAACCTGACAAAGACGCCACCATCCTCAACCATCTCATCTCGCCCCGTACGCAAACCGCCGCGATGCCTGCGCAAGCTCCGACAAAGCTTGCCTGGCCTACCATGTGTGTTTGTGAACTCAGTGAATTGTGAATCCCTGTGCCGAGTGTGAGTTGTGTGAATTGTGATTGCTCACTCTTACACTGTGACAAGATAGTTTCAACCTATTGAGGGTGCAGGGTGCGCTCCTATTAGCAGTACTGGCATGGCATGGGCGCATGGGCTCAAATCAATCAAACCCGTAACTCACAGCACACGCCTTCAAGCTCTATATAGAGCCTTCAGACACTGTAGCCGCCCAAAGTCTGCAAAGCTCACAATGCCTCGCTCGCAACGCAAATGATGGCAAGGCGGTAAGGAAGGATGGCAGGCAGGCTTTACAGCTTTAGAGTTTCTTTAGATTAGATCCGCCACACAACACACAGCAATCAGCATGCAAACAATGCAGCTATTGAGGACTACTACTCCATTCAAGCGAACAATTAGGACCATAGTTATAAGTCATCAGCCACAAACGTCTTGCGGAGCACCACTGGAATAGAGGCTGACTTCATTATTCATGTAAAGGCTTGCAGCGTCATGTCGCGTTGATCTAGCAGCTCTAGCACGGTCCACTGGTCCACTCACCATTGGATTCATTTTGTGAGTGCCACTGCCAGTGCTTCTGCTACAACTACAATCAAACAAGCCCGAAAAGCATGTTTGTGTGTTTCCCTAATTTCCTGGGTCTCCCAACAATTACTTATTGCAGCTTAACCCACAGCTCTAGCGTTCTAGCTCACTAGGTCCTCTAGGTTTCAGTTTGTGCGCAATGCTTTTGGCTTTCGGTCACACCCTGACGGGCCCCGAGGTAAAACCACCCTGCCAGTAGCCTGCCTCTGTGGATCCTTGAACAGGTCCGGGAAATATCTGGTGCCAGAATCATGCCGAACTGAGGGCAAAGGAAAAGGCAAACGAATCTTCCCTTGGCCAGAAGATGATGAGGAGTATGATGGTGAGCTCAACTTGCCATCAGCAAGAAAATCAAATCGCTTGGCGACTTCTCCACAGCAAGGATCATGACTGGCGAGCAAACACATTGGGCAAACCTGAAGTTTGCTGCCTTCTACGTCATTTTGGGACTCGCATATGAAGCACACCTCGCAAGAGATGAGTTCAACACCACCATCGCATTTGCTTTTGGCAACACGGAACATGTGCATGAACCGCACAACAGGGTCTGCCAAGCGGTTGAGATCACTAGAAGAGCGGGATGACTTCTTTGCACTTCGCTTCTCACGCAATACCACTGCACCTGTCACTGGCATGATGATGTCATGAGGTGCAACTTGTAGGGGATGCCGCTTTGCACCCACAGGTACAATGGCCTTCAAGTAGTGATTGCTGTCTAGATCAGCAACCCTTCCACATTTGCCCGGTATTGTCCAGTGTATCAGAGCTAAATCTCTTGTTTCTGGGCGCAGTACAAGCGATACTCCAGCACGTTCATCTTCCCCTGGGGTATGTGATTGAGCTTCTCTGTAGACATCCAAGCTCTCAAGACTTTGTTCTAGGCTCGCTGTCCACATTTTCACAAAGGCCAGCATAGCCGCCATTTGACCTGAGTGTCCAAGCATTTGACGGGACTGCCGATACTGATACTGTATTTGACTTAACACCACCAATGGGAATTAGTAGATAATATCTTTATAGAATAGATGAGGAGACCCAACTCCAACTAACAAACATGAAGTCCGAGCATATATGTGTTTGGCAACGAATTAACGGTAGGAGGGCCCTAAGGGTTCAAGTTGGCTGGCATGACTTTATTGTGGACAACCAAGTACATCAGGAATGAATGTGAATATATCAGGTGGCCCGGGCCGGCGCAAAATAGTCCTCCCCACCAAAAAGTATTCGCCCAGTATTCGCCAAAGCCAAGCTTCCCTCTTATTTGGCAGCTTCATCCCTACCAGTCTCATCAGTGTCAGTGTGACACTCCATGTTCCCCAAGACTCCTTCAGTGTCTTCAAGTTGTCAGTGTTATTATTTGACATGATGCTGTTCAAAGGGTGTTCTACTAGATTGCCACACACGTGTGAGGCTTGCGGGGTGGTGGGGTGATAAGAGATGATGGACATGGAGCTGTAAAAAAAAAGTCTTGAGTATTTGTTTTGTTGTCCAGTCCTGCATTGTTCAAAACTGCTTCCATAATTGCAGCCTCTGGCAAGTCATCTGCTGTCCAAAAGTCTTCAATAGCAGCATTTCACGGCATTGGACATGCTCCAGTTCTCAATGCATCTTTCACTACCTGCTCCTCCACTGCCCGAACACTATCCTCCATAGTTTCTTCGTTGGCTTCGGTCTCCAGCTCTTGCTTTTTCTCTTCCAAATCATCCAGAACTGTTGATGTTGTCTCACGGCAAGCCTCCCTCAAAATGTGCTCTGCCGTAGTCAGTACACTCGCACTCCCATGTGTGCCACCATCATCACCGGCTGCTTTCTCAAGATCTTCTTCCGCTTGTTCCATCAATAGTTCCAGTATTTTCTGTTCAAGTGGTTTCTCAGCATTGTCGTTTGCGTCGTCCTCTTCATGGTGTTCTTCATGTTCATCTTCATTTTCCTCTGGCTCGTCAGACCAATTGACAAAGGCCTCTTTCATTTTGGTCGACGGCTTCTCCAAGTCCACTTGCGCAATGGGCTTACTCTCAGTGAGGCCAACATACTTGATAGCTGGAAGGTTTTTGGCATCATACTTGTTTGGTTTCAGAATGAAAACTCGCACGTGAGCACCGCTTCGAACAAACGGCCAGTACGAGGAGATGACATCAAGGGAATTCAAGAAAGTCAACGGCTCTTTCAACCACAGTTCCCTGTCCCCCCGCGTTTCACACAGAACCAGCCGTCGAGTTGTTCGAACCTTCTCTGCTGTGATATAGTGATCATAGGTAGATTGAAACCCAGCTTGTTTTTTGATAATGGTGACCACCAATGATGAGCCTGCAGAAACTGAAGTATCAGACTCAGACGCAGCTGCCAGTTTCTTGTTGATCATCATGTTCCAGCATGCGGCCCAGTTCTTTCGAGCAGTCTGTCCTGGAATTCCGATCAACTTGTCATACACGCGGCTCATTTCTCTGTCAGGAGGCAAGTCTTCTGGTGGCGCCGGCTGTTCCCACCGTGAGGTGTTGTTTTGGACCTCTGCTTTGTCAGGCCAACTGGACAAGCAAAGCTGCAGCAACGATTGTGCTGTGGGTTTGTATTCACTCCATTTCCGCCGTTTCTCAGAAGCTCCAGGATTCACAGACTCGCCCAAGAAGTGCTTTATGCAAGCGCGGCTGGAAATCAGCTCATGTGATGATGTTGGCCCCCGCTCTGTGAAAAGGGCCAAATGCTTGTTTATTCGCTCGCAATCCCTAGTGTCACATTGCCAGCATCTGGCAATGCCTCGAATAAACACCCGCAGAGCTCCTTTCAAAATGCCTTGTGTTGCTGCAAATTGCAGATCTGCTTGAAAAAGATCCCTGGCCTTTGCCGCATTGATTTCCAAATTCTTTGTTTCAAGAATCTCCTTCGCAACTTGAATGCGGCAGGTGCACACAGAAGTATCTGGATTTTTGCCCAAAAGCAGGAGTCTGTATGGAAATCGGATGAGAGGGTCAAGGATTCGTCTTGAGAAGGCTGAAGCCTGCTGCAGCACTGCAAACACCAATCTGAGGAGAAACTTTGAGTCGTTCTCATCAAGGTTGTCACACAGACCAATCCAGAATGAATCTTGTCCTGAGAGATCATGACACTTTTCAAACCAATGTCTAAGGTCAGTCTATGTGTGTTTCACCAATACCAACAAAGTCCAAACAGGAACAGGAACCCAGGAACTAGAAACCAGAAACGAGAACAACACCGACCTAAAACTTGAACCAGTCTAAGTCTAGGTCCTAATAGCCTAACTGCCAGACCCCAACGCATGCTATAGGCTGCTAGAACCTGTAACTTTAGCTGTCACTAACACTAACTAGTCTGTCGCAAGCCCTCCAAGTCACAAGTCCATAAGTCCATAAGGATACTAAAGGAATTAAATGAAAGCAGCAAGCAACCAGGCAGGGAAAAAGTGTATGCATGCATGAGTGCAAAAGCACTGGCAAGGCTTATAGCCACAGCAAAGCAGCAAAGCAGGCAAGCATACAGCACACAGTTAATTCAGCTACGGAAGTTCCGTATTGAACCTGACTTGGGACTTAGGCAAAGTTCGTTTAGACAAATATATAATATATTATATATATAGTCAAACAAAAGATTAGAAAAGGACCAGGACGCATTTAAAAAGCTTAGGCAATTAGTCATTAGTCGTTCCTTCCTGCTGTCTTTGCTAACATGACGACTGACGACTGCTTGAGAACTAGAACATTGAACATGATTGATTGACCGGTTTATAGGTTGCTAGTTGCTTGGTTGTCAATGTTTGTTCTTTTGTTTCGTGTGGCTTGCTTGGGCTTGCGCATAGTTTGCATAGGGGCGTTTGTTGTCATTAGTCATTTGTCATGATGACTGTAGATGTTGCTGTGCAGCTTGCACATACACACACAGAGTATAGTTGTATGTTGTACTGCATTTGGTACCTGCAATAATTGTGGCTGTGGCCCGTGATGCGCCGCGGAGTGGCAATAGTAAGACTGTAAGATCATGCATCCCGTTGGCTGAAGCATGAAACACTTGTAAAGCTACGCCACTACGCGACGCATTCACTGAAGTCAAGTCAAGTGTCTGAACATCATCTTGGGAAACGATTCGTAGATTTCTTGTCCCTTTCCACAAGTGAGGAAATGCAAATGTCGCTCAGAGTCTGCCGGTAGTTTTTTCTTCACATAGTGAGACAGGTGCATCCATGGTTCACGACTGGTGTGCAAAACAATAATGATCTTGCCAAAGAGAGTGTCTTGTAAAACAGTCCAAGTGTGGCGCCGCCACTTTCCCAGGCGAATATTGAAAGCCTGTGTTGCTTCCACTGCCAACTCGTCAACAGCATCAGCACCGTTGTCAGACTTTTTGTTTTTGTGTGTCTTGTTGACCTTCTTGTCATTCTCAAGGAGTTGTGGCTCAGTCTCAAATAAGTATTTGATGGCTGTGGATAACTTGGACACCTCAGCCTCAAGCAAGCGTCGCTCCGTTTCTGCAATGGAGCCCCATCTCCCAGCCACGCACCGCGGAATCAAAGATTTGACTTTTGAAACAGCATCTGCGTCACCAAACAAAGCTCTCCAAGTAAGAAACAGACTTTGCCCGAGATCTCTGAGCGTGTTTGCCACGATTGCTATTGAAGAGTAGTACTTCCATGGTCTGTGGCCTTTCAGAAGCTGGTCTGTCAGCTTTAGGGCACCCAAAACACCCAGGTGTGACAAGTGCTCAAAGCAATCGCTTGGCAAATAAAATAGCGATGGCACATCCTTTGTTTGTACCAAAACTGTTTTTTTTGACCATAGTTCGTTGCTTCCCCGGTCAGTCGTAGCCATGAAGCACACTATATGATTGGATGTCCTAATGCTCTGGCGGTGGTGGTCGTGGTGGTGGTGGTGGTGGTGGTGAATAACAAATATGTGTTTGCTGCAAATCAAGAGTTCCAATTCATTATACAAACAATTGTACAAATGTAACGGTAACGTGTTTTCTGAACAGGTCAACGGTCAAGGTAGGCAAGAAGAAAGGAAGACCGTTTTTTCATAAGGAAGGAAACCGAAAACCTATAAACCAATGAACAAAACAACCAGTTGAAGACATTGTCTTTTCCCAGGTTCCAGCTTGATTGACCACAGAGTAGCAAGTGGCAAGTGGAATGTTGCTTACTAGAGGGCTGGAAAGATTCTTCATTCATTCTCTCATGTCAACGTAAACCCTCCATGGAAACGGAGGCAAATGAACATGGAAAATGGACAACAGTTATTTTATATTGTAAAATATAACTCACACAAAAAGATTTGACGAAGCAGAACAAAGATGTCTCCAGCATTTTTTTGCTCAAAGACAATGTTGAAGGGCCGTCTCCACAATGAACTGGAACGACATCAGCCAATCTTCGGATACTTGTAAAGTCCTTTGCCCTAAACTGTTGTAATTCCTCATCTGAGGAAGCGTTAGCCCAGGATGCCGCAACCTCCATGGCGGTCAGTTTATGCTTGTGGTTGGTTGCATCTTCACGATATTGAATGAACACAAATGATTTGGACTGGAGGTCAATCTGCGCGTCTTCAAACTGCCATTCTTGGAACCAGAGTCTAGAACTGGCAAGCAAAGAAGCACCAGTGCGGCACTCTGCACGCAAGACGCTTTGTTTGCTAACATCACACATGATTTGTAATCCCAGATCTTGCGCAGAGGAATTGCCTAAATTCCGACGTATTGCAAGGCTAATGTTCCCCTGTGGAGTAAGCCAGCCCGTGGATTCAGATTCAGCATCCATGGTGTCCTTGTCGTTCTGAAGGAATTGCTCCAAGCGTCCACCCTCAAGTTGACGAACCTGTCGCTGCAAGTCCCTATTGCCTTTGACTCGTGTTGGACAAAATTCGTCCTCACGTTTCTTGACCAACCGCAGCTCAGGCTATGCCACCATAACGGCTATCCTGACTGCCAACAAGATGAACGACCCTATCAGATAAGCTGCCAATACAAAAGTAGTGATGCGGATTGGGCGGCAATGAGTTTGTGGCTCACAGGGGATCCTACCTTCCTCAGGAAGCTAGAATCACATCGCCGAGAGCTTAGGCGCAAGGCAGAGGGGACTGAAGCTGAGGGAACTACCAGAAACAAGTCCCGACGCACTGCTCCCCCTGTCGGCACGGGCAGCTCCTCCTCTACTGCACGCCCTCATGATCGCAACCTTCCCCAGCCACCCCAGAGGCCAAGGTACGCGGGGAGGCGATAGTTGGTCGGTCGAACCCAAGGCGGAAGGTGCAGAGCCCAGTGATCAGGACTCACCTGTGCAGGGTAGTGTGATGTTGTGGCCTTAGCCATTGCGTTTCTGGTGTGGGTGTTGTTCCCTCAGCGATCTGTACATCCACTTGGTTTCCCCCAAACTGAACAGAGATGGACGAACCTTGGCCTTCTGCCTTGACGTCACCTCCAACCTCATCGCACCTAGAGGTTCCTGCCAAGAACTCATTCATCGCCTCGTTCTGGGCACACTGGATGACTTGATCCAAGGCCACATCAAGGTCCATAGGTTCTCCACCCCCTTCTGGAGCTAAACTCCCATCTGGCAAAAGAAATTTCGACCTCCATGTCTCCATCCCCTTCTTCACCTGGAACCTCCCCACCTGCACCACCTGCACCCTCAAGTGGCCTCTTTACTGACCTCTCCGGATCATGAATTGGTGGCGGAGGAAGAGCTTGTTCGCCACTTCTGGGATCAACATAAGCACCCGCAAGCAGAGGAAACAAGACGTTCACGTCATACCATGGTGATTGGTCCCTAACTCTGAAATTGTGACCCTTGATCACTTTCCTCACTCCAGTGGAATCAACAGAAACAGGGTAAACCAAACAACCACCACCTGTGCTGTACCTGGCCCCCAAATAAGCACCCAGCACCATCCTCTGACCTTGCCACTTCTGTGCATGAACTGGCTTCACAAAACCCATGATCCCAAAAGGAAAAGTTCGTGGTATCTGACCTCCTCTCCTCTCTCAGAGATTCCAAAGGAGTGCCACCCCACTTGCGCTCACAAAAACCATTGAAAGTCCTGTAGGTGTATCCAACCAGATACCCCATCAAAGGTGATTCCAAAGCCAACCTCATGCCTAAATGAGCTTCCAAAGCCAACCAATTGGTGAACAAACCTTCTTTCATGATCCCCACAGCACGTTCTACACCCTTGGCGTGTGGACGATTCTCTGAAATGTTCCTCCAATGGAAGCCTCGACACTTGGACTCTCTCATTTTGTCTCATAGTGCATGAGTGCTTTCTCACTGTTGAAAACAACAAAACCCTCCAAGGGCTCAACTGTAAAGACTGCCCGAGGGCAATTAGAGTCCCTGCCACCGACTTAGCGATACGAGGCCAAAGCCTTCCACTCGACTGCACGCGTCCGACATGTCAGTCTTGACGTAGGGTTCAGCACGGTCAGTCCACAAGTATGGAGATACTGCCATTCCCTTCGTGTCCCCAAGCTACCGGACACAGTTGTAGCGATATTCCACGAGTACGGACGCCGTGTGGGCATGGTGCCCAGGTCATCGTT